CCAGTATTTTGGGGTATCTCTAAATTGATGACCTGTGGGGGCTTTTAAAGCGTCTTCTATGGACTTTTTGGGGTACTGGGGTTTTTCGCCGTTTTACGGATGCACGCAATTTGTAACCTGGGCATGTTGGGTATCGTTTTACTCGTTGTAACCTCATCTTTTATATTTCATTAAAAAAATGGGTATTTTGTTGTGTTTTGGGGCATTTAATTAAATTTTTCACTAAATATTGGGGTTTAATAAGGAGTTGCGCTAATATTGCGCAACATAAAAATTTGCAACTACCACCATTTTATTCTATAGGGTCTTGGCATTCAGAAAATATATAATGTTGGGGGGTTTTAAGTAATTTTCAGGCCTAAAATTTGGAATATAACATGGGTGCAAAAAATGAAAAAAAGGCCTCAGTCATGAAGGGGTTAAGCAATGGATTGCATACTTGTGTGCGTGCATGTTTTTGAGCAGGAGCCCATCTGCAGGTAAGCCTCTTACACAGCCTCTTTTGATGTTAATTTTGTCAGAAAAGTTCCTCGGGCAGCTGTTTAAGTATATGTTTACAGTTCTTTTGCAGAGCTGTTTTTTCTAGAGGTTGTGGTGCCCATCCCTCTGTTTTTTTAACTACTTTTAAATGCCCCTATGTCTCAATTCTTCAGAGCTGTGTCCCTCAGTGGATGATGGAGAAAATAGGATTGTGTTCTTCCCATAAAACCCTTTTGTTGTAGCCCCCTCCCCTCATTTTCTTCACACCTTTTGCTACAACTGGCAGGTGCGAGGTGGGACAGGCTTTTATTTTTTTGTCCTATTGTCCAATTCTCCTGGAGGCAGCAGCATAACCCTAAGTCTCAGAATTCTTCAGAGCTGTGTCCCTCAATGGGCTCAGAGCAAAGGATTACCGTATTTTTCGCTCCATAAGATGCACTTTTCCCCCCCCAAAAGTCGGGGAAAATGTGTGTGCGTCTTATGGAGCGAATCCCTATTGCCAGACCCCCGGAACATGCAGTTTCTGAAGCAGAGCTAAATGTAGAGTGGGGGCCGCTGCTTGTTTAATACAAGTGATCTATTCAGATCACTTGTATTAAAACCGAGCGGCGGCGATCAAGTCCACCCCGCCAGTGACCACGGGATAGGAGCTCACCATAGAGCCCCTAGAGCAGACGAAGAACGTTAGTGTGTGAACACTGAGACCGTGGTCACTAACACTGTCTCAGCGGTCACTAACTGCAGCTTCTGTAACAGTTTCTGTCACAGAACCTGCCTGCGTCCTATGGTCCGGTGCGCCTTATGGAGCGCAAAATACGGTATATGGTAATAACAACAAATTCCTATTTTTTGTGGTGCAGTTGTTTCTATTCCCCTCCCATTCCTTTCAGTACAGATTGTACTTAATTACAACGCTAGGTCTACAAGATTTTTAGTGTGAGTGTTCCGTGTTGTAAGACCTTATTCAATAATGAGTTCTTATTCGTAAGTGCTAATTGTAGAGTACAGTAACCCACAGAAAATGTCAGAATCCTGCTTGCACTGTTCTAACAGAGTGATAGTTTGCTGTAGATGTCTGAACTAACTTATAGAGTAAGTTCACCATTAGGCAAAGTCACACCCCCCCTGCACCGTGGCAGCTGCTGCCTGTCCTGATCTGTGGACTTGCTGCCATTTGTTTTTCCCAACCCCACTAGCTGCACCTGTGCAGACAGCTTAGAGTTGAACAATGGCGTGTCATGAATATCTCCAGTCATGGATACCTCCTGTGTCTAGTTTGCAAGGGGCTCCACAGGAATACTAGGTTCGTTCTGAAAATGAACACAGGTACTTTATCACTATTTGTCATATACCTGGTGGAAGACCCAAATGATGAGGGTGGCTTCTTTTGCTTCTCCAGCTCAAAATCCCCTAATTGGGCACTGCTGCTGCCTGAAACCAGATTGCATCTCAAACGTTCAGTTTGAGTGGACTTCATAAAGCCTGTGCGCTGAATCCATGGTCAACCATCTTGATACTTCTGTGTAATTGTGTTTGAATTAAAAGCTGTTGCTCTAAACAGTGTGTTTTGTGTTCTCTTGTAGCAAATGAAAACATTGGTCCCTCGCCAGACAGATTTAGATTTGCAGCAAGTGAGCGAACAGTTTGAACTAATAGCAAAAGAGATGGATGAGAAGATGGCCCAAATACAGAACGGTGAAATCATAAAAATGCAGAAGATACAAGAGGAACTAAGAATGCAGGATATTGAAAAGGTAACGTGAATGTAGATAATCTTCATAGGTTATCTGGTTCTGACATGCACAACATGTTACCACTGTTGTCTATCCTTTGATGTGCTTTGCTGTAAATTCTATAGTCTGACAATGACTTCTGTATGTTAGAGCTTTTGCAGTGCTCGAATTTCATTGTAAATTGTTGTCCCTTTAAATGAGATTTATATGTCAGAACTGCATATTGTCATACAGATATTGTTACTTAAAGTGTATTTCTACTTTTGCAGCCGAATCAGGATAACACCTACTTTTACATGTGGCACATGTTCCTTATTCACATAGCATAACTTTATAAAATATATAAAAAAGGCTGCTCATTGCTGCTGCTTTTTATTTTACCAGAAGGGGGCTAGGGGTCATGTTTACCACAATCTATCCTTACTGTACTGTGCCTTGCAGATCTTATTATCTGAGATGTTCACATTGTCTGTCCTAATAAAAGGTTTAAGATCTCAAGGCTCGGGGAGTGCATTGAATGCTAAGAAGCCCCCTATGTGATAGCAAAGAGGATGTGACAGGTCCTCTTTATGGAGATATTAGGGGTCTCTAAAACCCCTAATGTCACCTAGGGACCCCCAAAGCCCCATTGAATTGAATGCTAAGAAGCCCCATTAAAACATTGAATGCTAAGAAGCCCCCTATGTGATAGCAAAGAGGATGTGACAGGTCCTCTTTATGGAAATATTAGGGGTCTCTAAGACCCCTAATGTCACCTACGGACCCCCAAAGAAGCTGATGAAGCAGAGACTTGCTTCAGCAGCTTCCCTCTGGCTACAGAAGCCGGAGAATGACTTGCAGATCTTATTATCTGATATGTTCACATTGTCTGTCCTAATAAAAGGTTAAAGATCTCAAGGCTTGGGGAGTACATTGAATGCTAAGAAGCCCCCTATGTGATAGCAAAGAGGATGTGACAGGTCCTCTTTATGGAGATATTAGGGGTCTCTAAGACCCCTAATGTCACCTAGGGAACCCCAAAGAAGCTGATGAAGCAGAGACTTGCTTCAGCAGCTTCCCTCTGGCTACAGAAGCCGGAGAATGACAGCTGAATGCGGAAGTGACGTAATACACATAATTCCTGCATTCAGAAACCAGGGAATAGATCAGCGGGAGATCTTGTGCTGAGCTCCCTCCGATCTCTGGTCACAGAGCTGCCGTACCAGTCCCTGGCCCTCACAGGGCACAGCAGAGTACGGGAACGAGCGGGGGCGGGCAAGGACGTTTATAAACGCCCACCGGCATCTAGGACTCCACAGTCCGGCCGTTGTTAAAAAATGTCCCTATAATATATTATTCAGCAAGTTATTACAGTTAGAGCCCATGTATATAATGAGTCAACAAAAAAGGTAAGACATATTTTTGTAGATATTTTTAGGCATGCTGTGCGAATATGAACATATAATAAATATATAATGGGGGTTCTAAAATTTGGCTGCAAAGATAGAAATTCACTTAAAGTGACATTAAACCCTCAGATTTTTTAACATAAACCAATACTGTAATGTGTGCCTTACTGTAATCCATGGTTGTTTCCCTTCTCTTTGCTGCTCTTCCTTTTAAATCCTCATGTCTTCTCATGCTGGGGAGAACTTAACTTTTCAGCTCAGGGCCTCTTCCTGTAGTGCTGGCTCAGGTTACAAACCTATACAAACGGATACACGTCGCTAGTTTGTGTCCTCCCGTTACCCTTAGGAGAACTATGGGGAAAAGCCCTGACCCCATAGTTCTCCTTTAATAAAACTATTACAAAATTGTTATCTTTGATCTCTCCAAAACCAGATCTGCTCATGGTACCATGTTTTTTTGGCAATGACAAGTTGCAACCATAGATAAATTACTGGCGTGTGAGAGCTAACAGACCATATCAATATATGCTTATATGCATGTCTATATTTTGCTTAGTTGGCAGTTGTAAAGGCTCTCAGAAAACAGGAGGAGGCAGATTTGTCAGTTTTAGCCAGCCCATTAACAGTGGCAGAAAAAACAAACTAATGGGAAAAAAACATTTTGCCTTATAGAGAACCAGCTCAGCTGTGCAAGAATCTGAACATTTAGGGCACATTGACACTTTATTGTTCTTTAAACGCAGAAAATGAATGCTCTTTATCTCATGAATTTCGTATGCATTGCATAAATGGAGCCTATTTATTTGCAACAAGGTAAAAGAAAACAAAATGTGGCGCAATGCTGGCGGTGGAGAGGGAATTACATTTGGGTAATGGGTACTAAGACCATTACAATACAGAAAAAGTTTGCTTATTGTTTTCTTTCACTAGCTTCGCCAAGCAAGAAGAAGACAAAATGAAATTATGGCCCGAATTCAGGCAGCCGTTGTGCAGATTCCTAAACCTCCACCAAACCGAACTTTGAGAGCCATACAGGCACAGAAGATCCTCAGGAAGAAGAAAGAAGCAGAGGTACAATTATTGTCATTCATGGTTTTGTAAATGAATTCCACTTACTATATGATAACAAAATATTAATATGCTATATTCACCTGGGTTAAACATAAGTGATTGGTAGGCAACTAGCCCTTCCCGGTCTGAAAGGATGTACTGAGCAGAAAGTAGGAATGCACCAAAATTTTTGGCCGCTGAAACATATCGGCAGAAAATGGCACTTTGGGCAAAATGCCATCTTTCGGCGGAAATTGCGGTGCACCTATGGCTTCTCTCCTCCCTGCTGGACGCTGTTCTGTGTCCCCTCTATTCATTTATTTTTTATTAAATATTTTTATTTTTTACTTTACTTTTAGGGGCTTTGGGGAAATATTAGGGGTCTAAACAGACCCCTGATATTTCCCTTTTAAAATAGAAAAAGAGATTGAGAACACAGAGTCCTCATTCTTTTTTTCTGTGTCCCCTGTTACAAATGAACAGGAATCCTCTCTGAGTGTTCCTGTTCATTGATAACATGAGAACAGAGTATGTTTACTATGACTACAACTATGAATGAACAGGAGGAGATGTAGATCACTTCCCATTCATTCATAATTGAGGATACAGTAAACATACCATATCCTCAATTATCTACAAACACACAGCGATCGCTGAGTGTTTGCTCTCGCTCTCCTCTCTGACACACTGTCACAGGAGGCTGAGCGAGCGGAGCAGGGAGGAGAGCTCTGCCTCCTGTGACAGCGCGGCCTATCTCTGCCCACACACCGCTCTGCCGGACTGTGATAGAAGGCTGAGAGGTGTGGGAGGAGAGACAGCGGCCGCTCACAGCGCTCTTCACCCACATCGCTCGGCCGGCTATCACAGTTTCTCTCCCCCCGCTGGGACACATAGCAGCGCCCAGTGGGGAGGAAAGAAATCAGGGATGTGCCAATGTATCGGCAGGAAAATTGCACTTTCGGCATTATGCCAAAAGTGCCATTTTCGTCCGATATGTTTTGGCGGCCAATATATCGGTGCATCCCTAATCACAATGCATGCAATAATAAGGAATATGGTTATTCAGTAGTTTCCCCTTGCAGACCTCCTGCCAGGGGAGCAACAGCAGCACAGACTGGACAGACCTGACAGGCCACTGAGTGCTTTCCTGCATGCTCCCTGCTCCATTAAAAAAAAATGTATTGATGCGCAGGCACCTGGAAGTGCTTTCTGTGTCCTGACAGCAGTGAATTAGCTTTGTTGGTAGCACATCTGGTTTGCTTTAATTTATTCCTTACAGTAGCAAGGGAGAAATAAATGTTTTTATAATAATGATATCCTAAAAATGAGTACCAGACATGAATCTCATTACCATCACTACCAGGCATTGAACGAGATCGGATCAGATGTTGTGGTACTGGTACTGTGTCTGGTACTCTATGACCATCCTCGGCTTGCACAGATGAAAACAGTCTAGTGGTGTTGTGATATCCTGATTTGCCACAAAGTTTAAGACCGGTTTCCATATTTGTTCTGTTACCATATGCCGCATGTTATTTCATGGATTGGTTGCAGTAAACATTCATTTTGAATGGTCTGCCAAAGCACCACATTGACCTCAATTTGCACCTGCGCGTTTTTTGTTTTAATGTACCACAATGCACAGATGGCTCACATCTATGGATTTTGGTGCCCTAAAATGCAGGTTTGTTGTAGTGAATTGATGTAAAGCTTCTACCATACTCACCTCTCCAGCATCCCAGACATGGCGGGTGGCTCCGCCCCTAGTCCGCCCACGTCACGCCCCTCCTCAGCTTAAGCCGCAAATCTTCACTTGTCCGGCGTACCTGCAATGAATGCGGACGCCGGACAAGCTCTGCGAATCTCCGCTCCTCCATCCTGATTGAGAGCCTGCTCCTTGACTCCCAGGACTGCCTGTCTCCTCCAAGGACATTCCTGTGCCCAGGACGCTTCAGCCCTGCCTCACACATGGCAACCGCTGATCAGAGAGACCAGCCACTGCTACCAGCATTCTGAGCATTCCTTGGAAGTTCTGCCTCTCAGACTAAGAGTGTCGTGTGCACAGCTACCAGCAAGCATTTCCTATCATCAAAGCGGATCCAATTCTAATCACTGTTATTGACTGCTACTTCTGTGATGTGAAGTTAACATTACAAGTTACCATAGTGGATCTAATTCTAATCACTGCTATTTGATGCTACTTCAATTGAAGTTACTATTACAAGTTACCATAGTGCAGGGCTCAAAATTTCAAGTCCTGAGCTACTACCCAGGCCTTAAGAGTTACTCGCCACCAGTTGCCCAACCTTGCCCCTACCCTGCCCCCACCTTAACTTCGCCCCTAAACACACCCTCCAAAATTATTTTATGAAATTACACTTTTAAATATTACATGCAGAATAAAGTTACAAAAATAAATATTAACAACAACAATATTAACATAAATCAATGTAAACATTGCTGCCCTCCACATCCCCACATATAAAATAATACACTCTCCCCCTGTTCTCTGCCCCCCCACACATAAAATAATTTACCTGTTCCCTGCCCCCACATATAAAATAATACCCCCCCTTTCCCTGCCCCCACCCCACATAACATAAAACAAAGAGCCCCCTCACCTGCTTGTCTTTCTGCAGGGAGGAGGCGAGGAGGCACGAATCCGATCCCTGGTGATCCAGTAATGATTAGTAAGGTCTGCTGCAGACCTTACTAATCAATCCTTTTAGAACGGAGCTCAGAACTGTCAGAGCTTAGGCCGAAAGGAACCGAGCCAGGACAGCAAGGAGCAGCTTCTCTCATAAGTCAGGTACACGGTCCGGTCCGTGACCGTGTGCCTGACTGAATTTCCACTCGCCTGCACTGCATTTCCACTCGCCAAATGCGAGCAGGCGGGTGGAAATTTTGAGCCCTGCCATAGCGGGTCTAATTATAATCACTGCTATTGACTGCTACTTCTGTGAAGTTGACATTACAAATTACCATAGCGGATCTAATTGTAATCACTGCTTTTGACTGCTACTTCTCTGATGTGAAGTAAACTTTACAATTCAAAGAGCTTTTTGGTCTTGTTTAGGTTGTCATCCGCAGCTGAGTTCCATAGCAATCATTAGAGGTATTATAAGTGGGAATGTGCATTAGGGTGCCAATAAAAACAAATGCCCCCATAGACAGTGCACTGCAGGTTATCTGTTACTGTATGTGTTAAAGCAGTGACTATATACGAGCCAAGCTAACCAATGCCCTACAGATCTTATTTTTAGAATGTTGCATCTGACTGTTTTTGCTTTGGCTTCTCTATCCTCGTTTTCTTAAACTGCTTGCTAGGGCAGAGGGAAACACGTAACTAAGGTCAAATACAAATCTTCTCACATCAACATCAATAAAAGAAACATAAAATGTTGTAGCATTAACTTTAAGTTCATTTTCAGTGCAGCTTTCATATGCTCTCTCTGACTCCTTTTATTTGGTTTATGCTGTTTAATTATGTTATTGATCAAATCATTTTATATGTATCATGAACACAAGATGGCGGTATAGAACAGCACAATCATTTTGTTTTTCCTTAGGAGGTTTACCAAGAATTAGCAAGATTTGAATATTCAATGAAGAAAGATGCTATGATTAGCAGCATCACACCAAATGGAAGGTATGTCTGGATGTTCTACTGTCCAAAATTTCTAGTTATCCTGGTCTAAATTGACAGGCTGGCTCTTATTCAGAAGTTCCGATGTGCTTGAACTGTATCTGTGAACTGGTCTGTGATTGTGTTTAAGGCAGTATCAATCAGCATAATTCATAGTAGTGTATACACGCATTCTGCACTGCTATGTGCTCGACACTATACTAGTGGCCTATACTAGTGGTATATAACTGTCAATTTAGATAAGGCCTACTGTATTTAATGAAAATCTTCATGGCTATCTTCAGTATGTGGTTAGGAAAGTGAAGAAGGTGTACATTATGTAGATCCTCAAACCCTTCAACTCACTGACCCCTTCATGAAGTTTCAGATTGTTCATCAACCCAAAACATTTATTTACGGATGCACCGGTTTTCCGTTATCGAGTACGAGTGCCGATATTTTTTTCCGGTACTCGCCGATACTGAATACTGGTTCCGGAAGTCCCATTAAGAAAGCCAGGTGTGGAATGACTCGCCACCTGGCTTCCTGATTAGCCGGGAAGCCAGGCGGCGTGAAAAGACTCGCCACCCAGCTACACGATTAGCAGGGAAGCCGTCTCCATGCTCCCTCATCACCAGGTGACGAGGAAGCATGGAGCCAGCTTTCTCGCAAATCAGGAAGCCCGGCGCCATGTAATGACTTGTTGCCCAGCTTCCTGATTGGTCGAGAAGCTGGCCAATCAGAAAGCCTGGCAACGAGTCATTACACGGCGCCCCCCCGGCTTCCTTATTGGCCAGGAAGCCGACTCCATGCTCCCTTGTCACCAGGTGACGAGGGAGAATGAAGCCAGCTTTCTAGCCAAACAGAAAGCCGGGGGGCGGGTAATAACTTGCCGTCCAGCTTCCTGATTGGCCAACTTCCCAACCAATCAGGAAACTAGGCAGCAAGTCATTACACGCTGCCTGGCTTCCTGACCAAGTGACGAGGGGGCATGGAGCTGGCTTCCCGGCCAATCAGGAAGCCGGGCAGCGGGTAATGACTGGCTGTGCGGCTTCCTGATACCGGAAGCTCAGGTATCGGACTAGGCATCGGAGCATTTGGGCGAGTACAACACAGTTTGATGTGGGAGCACTCATTGGCTCTCTAACAGAGTTTGAGGTTGCGGATACGGGAAGTGAAGGTCACTGATATACAACACAAAGCATGAGGCCAGTTAAAACACATACCTGATCTCAAGTTCTCTCTCGCTGGAGGCTGACCTTCCACACTGGGTAACACTATCTTGCCGCTAGCTATTTCACCTTCAGTACTAGGGAATCCTCAGAGACCTCAAAAGTTTAATTGACCCCCAACTGACCTTCCAACATTTATTGTCCATCTATTGACCGCCAGATATTATTTTTAGTGCAGTTGTATTTTATGGACCCCCCTCCTCCTTCCCTCCATAGTAGATTCCCTGTGGATAAATAATTATCTACAGTCCCATTCTTGGGATCTTCACTGTGCAACCCTGTACAGAGCCTTTTCTTCCAGAGTGGACCTATTGTGATTGCCACTCATTACTATGGATTACCCTGTACTCCATTGGGGGCATGAGTAGTGACCCATACATAGACACAAACAAGGTTTGCAGCATGCATGCATGCATGGCAGGTGCACCGCTCACAGTTACCTAGTACAGTTGAGGCTCCCAATTTGCCATTCCCTCACTTCTAGAGACAGTGCTTGTTCTGGTGTTGAAGGTTATGCCGCAGATGTGGACTCTGCCTCAGAACTAGCATTGCTTCTAAACTGAGGCAGCCTCCATTACTGAATAGGAGCCTTGTCTGTGAAAGATAACCATTATTCTGATAGATTCCCTTCAAAACCCATCTACATTGAAATTTACCCCCCCCCCTCCCCCATCCCCCATCCTCATTTAAAAAGAAATGGTCCCAAAGCAGTACTCCCTCTCTCCACACACCATTGTGCCACACTCCTCATCCTCCTTTGGCCCCAGCTGCCACTCCTCTTTCAGTTTGAACCCACATTCTGTGAGTCCAGACTGTCTCTATAATGTATTAAAGAAGACTGGCTACCACAGAAAGAAGAGGACCCCAGATGTCATGTGACTGGAAAGAGAACAGCTACAAAAAAAACTAAAAAAGGGATGCAGGGGGTGTATTGGGATTGAGGGGGGGGGACAACCTGGATTTGGGCTTTTAGGAGACACTTTTCATTGACTAAAAAAAGGATCCAGATTGTAAAATATTAAATGTTCTTTCAGAAGTCCAACATTACAAAGAATAAAGTCAAATGGCAGCATTGGTGGTGGCGTCTTCAAACTAGAATCTAATGATGATTACCTAAGAAAAATTCAGAAGAGGCTTGAAGAGGATACCACGGCACGTGAGCAGCGGGAAAAAAGAAGACGCAGAGTCCTAATGGAGCAGCTTGTCGCTCATGGGGCGCAAGAGGTAATCACATATTATATTCCGACTACAGCAACAGTCCTTATTCAGTGAGGCAAAGAGCAATCCGTAAGACTTAAAGCAAAACGATGGGGGTCAGTGTTTTTCCCCATAGTTCTCTTAAGGGTCACAGGAGGACACAAACTAGCGTCCTCCCGTGACCCAATGTTCAGTATATAGCGGGCTACAGCTGGCTCTGCCTATCTAGAGACAGAGCCAGCTGTGCTTGCCCCCTTCCCCGTCCGTTCCTCTAGTCAGCGCCGGAGGATTGTAGCTGGGAGGGGGGAATCCCTGCAAGGAGAGGTGACTGACAGTCACCACTCTCTGCAGGGACATGATCGAGAAGTGAGCGAGCGACGCTATGTGTTCGCTCACTTCCCGATCTATTGAGCCGATTTTCACTCACCTCATAGTTCTCTTTTAAGGACCAGCAGACCAAAATCTGAATAAAGATTTAATAATAAAAAAAAAAAAGACTAGCAGTAGCCAATCGGTCACCTTCTTGCCGTGTTCTGACTGGTCTATACTGATGTCAGGGGTAAGCACTATGAATTACTCCTCATTATTTCTCTGTATTTTTATGTATGGACACGTGCCTGTTACCTTCCATTAGTGGTCACAATGTAACAGAGAGATGCATAGGAAATGCACTATTTCCATTGTAAATGTATGTAAATATAAATGAAACCATGAAATCTGTTAAATATGTAAATAAGGAAGTTATATTTATTTCTAAAGTGGGTACATTTAGATATATTTCCAATGGAACTGTTTTGTACTCAACATTGCTTTTGACAAACACAAAGAATGATTTGCATAAAGGGTTCAGCACACTTTCTCCTGCTTAAATCTGTGAGAAAATCTTAACAAGTAGATAAAGAATGTAAACAGACAACTAACAGCATATGATTTAGGACATTTAGTAATCGGTCATTGCAACTTAGTCCAGAACATTCCCTTTCATGCAGCTGAGAAAAGGCACCTAACCGGTACCAGGCTCAGAGTCCAGTAGCTGAAACAGAAGGCAGATTTGAGGTATAACAGGCCGGGTTTGGTACACAAGCAGACGGTAGTAGTATAGGAGCAGACAGAAGCGTAGTCAGAGAACAAGCTGAGGTCAGTAGCCAAAGGTATCGAGTATGAAGCAGAAGACGATGAGAGTAGTCGGTGAATCAGCAACCAAAGGTCGGTACACGTGTAGCAGTTTGAGAGGATTGTATCACAGAAGGAGCAGGAAGCAAGATATTGGCAGGAGCACAATAATCTGGCAAACAGGAAGTGCAGAGGCATGGATTAAATAAGAAGTTCAGGAGGAGGAGCAAGAAGTTCAGAGTTCAATTTCTCGGCTGGTTTTCCAACATGGTCGAAATACAAAAGTTGTGCGACCGTACAGTAGAAACGGTCACACGCCTTCCATACGATCGCGAGCTTTCCCGCGATTCTCGTACGAGAATCCTGCAGTGTATGGGCACCTTTATACAAGGTTTCAAAGTGGCTCAGCAGGTAGAGCCACTGCCAGACACAGCAGAGGCTCTGGGTTCAGATCTGGATCCTGACAGGTAGACGGAGCAGGGGCATTTGCTGCATGTTCTCTGGAAAAACCATAAATTTGTTATGTACTTGTGAGATGTTGTCTAACACTTTAACCAGACTTTCCATATGCAATTGGAATGTAACCATTTTATTTGTATATATGGATACCTGATACTGATACTGCTGATCAATACACTGTGGAGGCAGCAACGAGATCACTATTTTTTGCTGGAAAACTAATTGCAAGAAAATGGGTTGCACAAACTCCAATTTAAACTTCCTATCTCCAGTAATAATTGGCACAACAATAAAATGATACTATATAATGGTACACCACACCCAGATGCGAGCATGTCTCATGTGTCCCATTCATAATTTGGTGTACATGGGTGTTATAACGTGTTCCATTTACAATGCTCAGTCTATCATCGTTTATAACAATAAAAGAAGGGGGATGTTTTGCAAGATCAGTGTTATCAAGATATTGCATGCCTTTAGTGGAAAGACTGCTCTTCTTTCTCTGTACCTTTTCCCACCCTATTGTTCCCTTTCCCCTTCTCATTGTTCCCTTTCCCTTGCCCTACATTTTTTGTTTTTTATCATTGAAAACTTTGTTAAAATCCAATAATAAATTAAATCTGATTAAAAAAATCTTCATCACGAGACACACTAAGTACAATGTTTATTACCCACACCAGGTTTTCTGTTAGGGATGTTACAAGCGCTGTATCTATATTGCACTATGGGCTGCTATATAGGTTAGATAGCAGCCTATTGTACTGAGGTCTCTGTAGTGTGCAGTGACATGTACTGGAGAACCAAATAATAAGAACCAAATAAGCCCAATGCTACTAGAGTAGTTCTAATATTGTCCCTTTTTCAGGAATCATTTCGGGAGGAACAACTTATTAACCGTTTGATGAAACAATCTCAGCAGGAGCGGAGAATTGCTGTCCAACTCATGCACACCCGCCATGAGAAGGAAATCATAGGACAGAACAGAATCTTCAGAGAGAAGCAGTACCAGGAACGACGCGAGAGAGAGTTCCAGGAGGTGCTTGACAGAGAAGCGGTATGAAAGTGACTCCTCATCATTACTTTGATTGACTCAAATTTTACCAGGACAATATGGGCTTTTGTCTATGGCATAAGCTTGACATAAGTTTATCATGCATCTGAGATCATTCAGAATTCATTGACAAGTACAACTGACCTGCAACTGACCTCTTTCTGAGTTTTGCATTCCCATAGACTTGTACGGGAATGCAAAACCTGCTTGAAGCAAACAAGCAGGTCATAACAGTGACCCTCATAGCTCTCACATCTGACCCCCTACTGGATGAACTGAGCATTACTACCAGTATGGTCACTCATACACAGCCTAATATGCAAAAGCAATATTGACCAATCCATGCATTAATCCAATGACCTGGCAGTGTAGGAGATAATGACCAAGTGATACTGAGCAAAACAAAACCTGAATTTTTGGTCACAAAATGTCTTAATTCAACACCTTTTCCCCATAAAAAAAAGAAGAGAGATCATCAACTGCCAAACTCAGCAAAGCTTCATATAAGATATTAATGTATACCTGTGCACTATTACAGGCCTTGCAGCATCAAGCCAAACTGGATGCCGAGGAGCAAATGCGGAATGTTCAGGAACTACATGACCAGATAGCAGCGGAACGAGTGCAGGCACGATACAAAAAACACTATGGCATTTGTCAGGAAATAGTGAACCAGATTGTGGATCTGGTGACAAAGACAGGAGAATACCGAGAACTAACTAACAGGTGAGAGATTTCTCTTAGTGAATTTGTACTTTTCTGGCCTTAGATTTATAAATACTAAGCTTAGTGCATTACAACGTAACGTTTAAGAATAATGCCAACATAATAAAATTCCTTCAAAGAAGAATTCCAGGGAAGGAAAAACTTACCTTTGCAGTGGGGCTACCACTGCATTGCAAGAGTTAAGTGCTTCTTTTGTCTAGGGGGCTCTAATAAAGCTGTATTACTGGATATCACTGCATATTTTCTCTTTTTCAGACCATTCTCTGTAAATCTTAGAGATGGTTGTGCGTGAAAATCCCAGTAGATCAGCAGTTTGTGAAATACTCAGGCCAGCCCATCTGGCACCAACAACTGTGAAGGGAGAAATCTCCACAATTGTTGCATTGATTAGCCACAACTCAGGTGAAATAGCTTCAAGCAATAGGTTTATTCAGCTGACCATTGGACCTATTGCTCATTAAGCCAAGGTCCTTCATATTAAGCTTAGAAGACAACTGTCTTAGCATTGGACCTATTGCTCATTAAGCCATGGTCCCTCATATCAAGCTTAGAAGACAACTGTCTTGGCATTGGACCTATTGCTCATTAAGCCATGGTCCCTGATATCAAGCTTAGAAGACAACTGTCTTGGCATCGGACCTATTGCTCATTAAGCCAAGGTCCCTCATATCAAGGTTAGAAGACAGTTGTCTTAGCATTGGACCTATTGCTCATTAAGCCATGGTCCCTCATATCAAGGTTAGAAGACAGTTGTCTTGGCTTTGGACGTATTGTTCCAAGGTCAGAAAAGTTGTTTATGATTTCTGTCTCTGGACCCCTGTTACCTCATCCTATAAGGCCTAAATGTTCTACACAAATTCTACTTACCTCCATCTACATAGCTAAATGTTCCTCATGCAGCTTATTCACACAGCTCATTATCTCTATATTATATGTATATATGATGTTTCCACTATATCATTGTGCACTATATAAATGGAGACTTACTTATAAAGCACATTTTATGAAATGTTCATTAAGAAAGATATTAAGTTAATTAACATAATAGAAGCTTGACAATGTGATTCAGCAGGGATCATCAATTGTTTACACAATCATGCCATGTTCAAAGTCACTTAGATCACCTTTCTTTCCCATTCTGATGCTCTGTTTGCAGATCGTCTTGACTATGTCTAAATGCATTGAGTTGCTGCCATTTGATTGGTTGACTAGATATTTGCATTAACGAGCAGTTGAACATGTGTACCTAATAAAGTGGCTACTATCCTGTTATGACATCAGCATTGTAATAGGAGTATGTACTGGGGGTTTATTCACTATGGAGCAGAAGGATACAGCCGTAGCTTTGGCTCACTTCGGCCGCCTGAGCCCTTTGGTTCAGTAAAACCGCAGGGCTGCTGTATAGGATATTCACTGTAGCCCAAGGCATATGCTTCTGCTCGACTGAGCCGTAGTGACAGCCGAAGCAGGGCGAACGGCCTGCCGAAGGCCAGCCGTTCGCTCCGCAAATGACAGCTGGGCGGAACCAGTTGCCTCGCTCCGCCCAGTTGTAATGACAGATCTGCGTCCCCAAATGACCTGGGGACGCTGATCTGTCATTAACCAATAACAACTGGCGGAGCCGGCCGTGACCTGTTTTTTCTTTTCTTCATTCTTTTCACTTCTTTTCTATTCTGCTCTGTACGCTCGGCGACATTTGGTTATTCACTCTCTGCTGAATATGAGAATAGGGGCAAAAGGCAGCAAGTGAGCTGCCAGAGCTTTTGGCTCAGCCGATCCAGATGTTGGATCGGCTGAGTTGAACTCCTTCTGCACTTCAGCTCAGACCGAAGGCAGCCGATATACGGCTGATTTTAGCCAATGTATGACTGAAGTTAGTTGTACAAGCAGGGCTGGATTTCCCACAGGGCCAACCAGGGCCCGGCCTTGGGACAGCAGGGAGTAGAGGGGCAGCAGGGGTGTGGAATTCCTATATCCTGATGCCTGGGCCATGCAGTTCTGGGCGCCGGGCAGGTAGTTGTTTTCTACCTTTTAGCCCTGCTTTGGGCAAGCAGAGCTAAATGTACAGTGGTGAAGCCGCAGGGCTGCCATTCTCCATTGGAGGGGGGGGGGGGGTTTGGCAGGGAAGGGGGGCGCATTGAAGAACCTGGCCTTGGGGCAGCAGAGAGAGTAAAACCGGGGCCCTCCTTACAAGACTAAAGTGAATAGCCGAACAGCTGGGTTATCCACTTGGCTGCCTTCAGCATCTTTGTGAATAACCCTCTAGAGTTGTTTTTGATAATATAATCAAAGCTTACTTGAAAAAAAATCCCTTTTATATAGTGAGTGCTGCTTTCCATCTGCCCATCACTTTCATCAACTTCCTGGATACCCAGTGTGCTTTGTGTCTCTTTCCCTGCTGCTTGATATGATACAATCTCAATTTCTCGTGACTACATATTCCATCATGCATTGCTTCCAGCAAGCAATGATAATGTTACATTGTTCAGATGTTGACTGTAGTTCAGACGGCAGGCATGGTTAGAGTTGTGACACAAGGAAATGGATAATCACAGGGCTGAGTGAAATTGTGTCAGTGCATTGAAGTACATCCTATGGGCATCTGCAATACGTAAGTTTACAAACTTCTAGATGGATATGGTTATTAGGAGTGGGATGGAACTTCAATTAAAAATAGAAATACATATTTATTTTTATTTTTTGACGATACATACATTTTAATATGTTGCTGTTCATGTTTACAAAAGAATAGTGTCTCTGGTGTAGTGTAACTGCTCAGTGTGTATCTACAGTAAAAGACTGATCTTCTTCAGGTTAATACCTAACAAAGTAATGCGGGAGTGGAAACAGATCTTCATGTCTGGGCTCCCCCTATATGAAGAAGCTTCAATAGATCCTTTGCCTTCTGAACCAACCCCTGAACAACTTGTGGAACTGGAGAAAGAGAACCTACTAAATGACAAAGACTTTGAAGAGTACCAGGTACCGCTCACAGCTCCAGAGCTTTGCAATACTTCACTCGCTGTTGTAATGTGTTTATAAATAAAATGGCAACTTTAGTCATTGTGATTTATAATGATTTGACATCATTTTTTAATTGAGAAAGCTTGACCCCTGGAGTTGGTCTGATCCCTTCTATAGTGTAGTCAGTCAGTGACTAAAGCTGGTCAGAGATTCCAATCTTTCTTGTGATGATTTCTTTTAAAACTTAAATCTGAGCTAAACACATTGGGGGAATTTATCAAAACTGGAGCAAACAGTATCTGGAGCAGGTGCCCATGGCAACCAATCAGCATCTCTCTTCAGTTTGCTCGGGTAAGATTTGAAAATGAGAGAGAGAAGCTGGTTGTCTGCAGTGCAAATCTGCTCCAGATTTTGTCTGCTCCAGTTTTGATACGTTCCCTCCATATTGTATGAATACAAGAGTCATGTGCATTTCCACTTGAATCTTGGCGTGCTCTGTGTATTTCTTTCAGATCTGTGCAGTACTCCTGCATGCAACAACTCCTGTACTTTGGCTCTCTGCAGAAGTCTCCTATAATACAGGCTGGTCACTGCTGCTCATTCTCCTTGTGCAGGGTGACTGGTCTTGTATCCGCCTTCTTCTGTAATTTTCTGCAGGCAGCTTGTAGTGGGTCGGATCTGCCGAGTCCCTCCCACAGCTCTGTACAGGGTATGTACAGCACAGTGATGATATCACTGCTGCATTTACAAGATGTAATATCTGAGTTTGCACAGGCATACGGGACACAGAAAGTTGATATATGTCCTTTGTGGCCATTAAGGATTATATTTGCATTCATTTGTTGTGCCTGAAGTTCATCTTTAAAGCAGAACTCCAGGCATAACTGTTGGTAACCCTTGCAGTGGGGCTACCCCTGCACTGCAAGGGTTAAGTGTTCGTTTTTGTCTAGGTGCAAAAAATCAAAAGGTTATACTTACAATGTGACATATCATTGATGCAGCGGAGGAGGAGACAGGCTGGGGGGAGTGCTGTGACATCCGGATGGCTCTTCAGTTCGGGTGAATATAACTTTTTACTTTAGCACCTAGAAAAAATTGAGCACTTAACCCTTGCCGGTAGTGGCCCCACTGCAAGGGTTAAGAACAGTTTTGCCTGGAGTTCAGTAATTCATTTCAGTACAGCGCTGCATGACGGAATAAATGTCAGTCAAAGTACCGCAGCGCTGAATACTGAAAAATGGCCTGGATGGGAAGGGGGTTTAACACTGCGGATGTCAACTGGTTAAATACACGTATGTGCATTTCTCACACACTACACAAATGCTTTCCTGCTGTGCAGTCAGATCTTTAAACTGATTACATGTAACATTTTGTACTTGCTGTATAAAAAAATCATCTGAGATGTCCTTACTAAAATTAAACATCCCTACCCTCAAATGATTTTGAGATTAAAAAAAACTTACTGCAATCCACCCGTTTAAGTGAGGAGTGATTTAAGATAAAAAAAATATTTTTATTTTTTTATCCGGGCGAGGGCTCTCCTTGTATTAAACTGTGCCAACCAATTTTATGATGAGATTTGAGCAGATTAACCCCTCCATAACTGCCACACCCTTATTTAACCACTTGATGACCACGGTGTTAAACCCCCTTCCTGTCCCGGCCATTTTTCAGTATTCAGTGCTGCAGTACTGAAATTAATTTTATACCATTTTTTGGAGACAGATAGAGCTTTCTTTTGGTGGTATTTAATCACCACTACGGGTTTTTCTTTTTTACTATATAACTAAAAAAAGGACCGAAAATGTTGAAAAAAAACCTGTTTTCCCTACATTATGTTACAAAACATTTATTATTACCCAAATGTTTGGTAAAATATAAAAGGCGGGGTCACGTCGGGTTGACCTAACATGTCAAGCTTTAAAATTGCGTGCTCCAACAAAATTGCAAAAAAACTACCATGCCTAAAATTTTAACGCTTTTACCGCTCATCATTTTAGTGTTAACAGTAATTAAGGGCCCTAAAATGTTTGCTCTCACTGCGACGTTCGTGGCGATATGTAATATGTGCGGCGTAATCGTTGTTTTTGCACGTAGGCGTACCTGATGCGTATTTACGTGCATACGTGCGTGCGCATTGGGACGGGGGATTTAAATCTTTTTTATTCTTTCTTAATATGAAACTTACATTTATTTATTTTGTTACTTTTCTTTTTTTAACCTTTTGTTTTGATTCACACTTAACTTGATTGATATCACATTGAGGGGGGCTAAAAATCCCCCAATGCGGTAGCTAGAAAAAAATGAAAGGTCCTCTTTATGGAGACATCAGGGGTCTCTAAGACCCCTAATGTCACCTAGGACCCCCAAAGAAGCTGATGAAGCACCATGTAAGGTAATACAAGCGATTATATAGAGCCGGTGGCACACTTGTTTGAAACAGCCGGTAACGGCTGTTTACCCTCCTGGCGGGATTCTGCTCGTGCACGTACATATACGTCTGCACGTATTTTTATGATGGGCGGACGGCAAGGGGTTAAGTCCACATGAACACTCCTTGTTATGAGAATGTTGATTAACCTTGCAGCAGAAAACTAGCAATACGCTGCTGTGTGTGTGTGTGTGTTCCTAGTTCTCATGTCTAATGCCAAACTGAAAAGATAGTCATTGTTCTGCCCCTGCTATACAATGCCCTGTGGGCGGTCTATAGCTTGAAATGCAGCTAAACCCTCCTATTCTGCAATAAGCCAGACTGATTGAAATCTTGATGCTTTATTAATATAACAGGGTGGGATGAAACTGGTGAAAAAGAACATAGAAACATAGTCAATATATGAAACAAAAACATAGTGTCAGCTCACAAATATAGAGAGAAACCAGTCCATCCATACCAGCGATGCTGCCTAATGGAGATTTGGGCTCTTTCCTCCAGACAGGTGCTGCGGAAGGCAGTGGATTTTCTTCTCCTCTTTTCTAAAATGTAGGCTGAGCTCCCAAATGCCCTTGTTTCCTTCTGTGTGGACAGAGAAGGATGTTGGGAGTTTACCAAAGAAAAACTGTAAGCTGTTAAAAACAGAGATATTTCTCTTTAGCTCCATCTTGTGGACAATTTTGATATGGCAGGTAGGTAAGCTTACAATTTCTACATGCCAAAGGCAGAACAATCAAAGAGTTACTTTTAAGTGAACTGACACCTTCTGACATGCTGGCAAGCTTCAGAAAATTGGTCACCAATGGGTTAAAGTTGACCTATACTAAGCCCCCCCCTCTCACCCTTCTGCCACACCAAATACATAGATAATAGAAGGAGAGCAGAAATATGTCTGAGAGAGCAAGCCAGTCAAATGTTCTGCTTGATCCTCCCTGTCAGATGAGATCACATGACCTCTGCCTTGGAATTTGGTGACATAACTGATAATGAAGGAGGATCACAACAGAATTTTCTTCTTCTGGGGAAAGCTTATCCCCCATGCAGCTAGTTGGCAGGAGATTGAGCTTGCAGAATTACTCGCTGACTGTTGTATTTTTATATACTGTACTTGTACTGTCTTTAAATTTATACGTTATAAAATTGAATAATTGTTTATATTGTACTAAGGACCCCCCTCTAAGCATTTGCTTAACAGTACTGAGGCTGGGGGAGGGAGGGAGGACCCCACTAAGAGTCAATGAGCTGTGCTACAGTGCTCATGTGCTGCCCCTTTACATGCTCATAGGAGAAGAAAGCACACGCAGAGGGTTGGTAACTCTTCGGTCTGCTGCAGCTTTTTTTTACTGTCCAATCAGTAGGCAGCAATGCTGCTGCAGTAGAGAAGGAGGACCTGGCTATGCAATCTGGCAGGAGGCTAACAAGAATCCTTAAAAAAAGTTGAGTTTTCATCCAACGCAATTGATCCATCAATACATGGGAGAGACATTCCACCTGGCTGCTTTGTTTTGGAGTGATTGAGCCTATTCAGCGTTTGTTCTTCCTTAAATATAATAGTTTTTTTTATTTTTTATGTATTTTCTTCTTTTTTTTTTGACAGTGCTTCCCAAAAATAGTTTTTTCTTTTAAAAAATTAAAGTTGAGTTTGTTGTGTAACGAAGCAGAAAACATGCTTGCAGGATTATATCAAACTAAAGTCACAAGGCTGATTTATCACATTCATAAATCTAGCTCGATTGTAATCTCTGATGATGTACATAGAAACACTTCACACAGGAAAAACAACAAGCATGACTGAGGTTAGACTTGGACACATAATAGATCTGAGTGTCTGTTTGTAAAGGAGCTTGACATAGTCATAGAGAGTACCGGGCACTTTAATCTATATTGTCATATTGTTTCAAAATGTCTATTGGCTTTGAACTTGAATGTACAACACCTGTATGATTAGGCTGTGATGGAAACAGCTATTCTCAAATTGTGCTATTACACAGAATTGCTTATGAGTAACAAACATGTATCTTTTTTGTGTATCACTCGGCTGTAGATCCTCAAATTATTATTATTATTATACAGGATTTATATAGCGCCAAGAGTTTGCACAGAGCTTTACAATATAAGGAAGACATTACAATCACAATACAATTCAAGACAAGATGGTAAGGAGGGCCCTGCCCCTGAGGACTTACAATCTAAAAGAGAGGGGCAAGTGATACATGAGGAGGTTGCTATTGTGGGGATGAATTATTTGAGATCAAAATCATCGAAATCATCTCTGAGTGGGTGCTGACATTGTCCTTCCTTCTGGAGGGGGGGCTACTTTTGTTCCCCATGGTCCCTCCCAGGATGGACTACAATCTCAGGTTTAGTTTACTAATTTGTATTGAAGTTACAGTCCATCACAGCAGTGAGCTTGGAGCGGTGACTACTTTACAACACACACAGGAACCATGGGGAACAAATGTAGCCCCCCTTCAGAAGGAAGCACACTTAAAGTACTGAGACCAGAAATGTCCTGTTGACTAGAGAAACTTCCAGGATTTAACTTTTCCCGTGTAAAACTCTTAAGTCTAGTCGGCTAACTAGAGAG